GGTACCTGTTTAAAAAGATAATTTGCTTTCCCCCCGCTCGGAGGTACTTATGAGTGACTCCGCCTCGCCGTAGGTGCTGCACTGGGGTCCCATCCCACCACGTACAATAAAGGCGTGTATAGGCGGTTTTCTGGTGCGCCACGAACGCCGAAGTAGGGTAGGTGATTGTCCGCCTCGTCGTAGGCGTCGGACCGGGGTCCCATCCCACCACGCATAATAAAGGCGTGTATAGGCAGTTTTCCGGTCCGCCGCATACGATGAAAGCGAGAATCTGAGTTTAGGAAAAGCAAGCAGCAATACCGAGCAATACCGAGCAAATACCGAGTTGTACCGAGTTTTTCTAGAAAAATCAACTCGGTATTGGTCTTCACAGAGCGGTATTTCTTATTATTGCCAAGCAATACCTAGCAATACCGAGTAAATACTGAGTTGTACCGAGTTTTTACCTAGCAATACGCGAACATAGCATTCCCGGGTTTCGGACCGGGTTAAGTCGGGCCGCGCGGTAAAGAGCAAGAGCATTGGCGGCCGAACGTAGCTCCCGGTCAGAGGACGTAATAATTATTCCTCTCTATGGGCATTTTTACGGGATTTGGCCGAAATAGTGCACGAAAGGGAGATGGTTACCTTCATAGCGCTCGAGCTCTCGTTGTTACTTCAGATTAATTGTCGTAATCTCCGCTCCAACAGGTAGAGAACTTCGTCAAGGGTGCGAACAACAGGGAGATCGGGCGAGGTTAGGGCATGGTCCGGTGGAGAGCTTGGTAGAGGTAACGCAGAAGTTCCTACTTCCTTCTCTCTCTCTCTCTCTCTCTCTCTCTCTCTCTCTCTCTCTCTCTCTCTCTCTCGGAGGTCGAAGAGGAAGAAGGTAGGTAGCTTGGAGTCGAGAGAAGGGATTCGGTCGCAGAGACTCGTGAAAGGGAGGAGTTCGGAATGGGAGAAGTGGAGTTTCGGTTGTGCAGGAGAGCAGAGAGCGGGAGAGTTACGGGAGAGCAGCGAATGCTTCACTTGGTTGGCTTTTAAAGGCATCAGAATTCAGTGATCGAGAGCGGTATTTGAGCAGAAATTGCGGAACGACGCCGAATGCGCAGTGGTTCGGCGTGATTTCGAGATGTTTTGCGGAGGATTCGGGGATCCGACGGGGATACCAGGTATTTTTTTTTTCGTTGTTTTTTTTTGTTCCTTTGGGTATTATTCAGAGGTCAACATATGTATGTTCAACGACTTGTAATTATTTCAGACTTCGCTCTAAAGGTTTTTATTTTTGAAGAAAAAGGGTGTGAGAGGGAAATTGTTTGGATATGGTGTAACATAGTCTCAAATTTCAAGTTTCCTTCTTTTCCTTTATGATTTATTTGATTTAATTTATATCCGTACTCTCTCTCTCTCTATCTATAAATATATATATATATATATATATATATATCATTTGCCTATATACACAGTTTTTGTTTCTTTCCTTTTCTATCTTCCTCTCTCTTTGCTCCATCTCTATCCCTCTCTATATACTTTTTCTTCTACCTATATCACTTTATCAACTTATATAGGATGCTTAATGGTATAAGGTTTATTAATGCAATCTAAGATGACATGTATAATTAAAACACTTACTTCTTTCTAATTGATCATATAATAGTTGCAAAACTTTTGAAATCTTCAAGAATAATAATGAATAAATATAAAATTTTAATAATGATCAAGATTCACGCTACACGAAGTAATCCAAGATGTAGAATGCTTCATAAACTTTAATCATGCACACACATTAACTACTGAATAAAATAACGCAATAATCATGATAGAAATCTCACCCAAAAGGCTTTAGCTTCATGTCGGTATAATTAGACTTACTATTAAAAGAAACAACCAAGATCTGCACAGTGTTGGAAGAATATATATATTCAATAACATGTATTCAAGAATTGAGGACAACTAGAATTTTATTCCCTACTCAATGCTTACTGATTTTTTCATGCCTCAAAGGATCTTTATATATTGCCAATGAAATATTAACATAAGAAATTCCATGAAACCTTATAGATTTAATAAAAACCTAAGAGTTCCAAGTCTGCAAGCATAAAATAGTAGGAATAAACTCTTATTTTTCAATTTTAGTTGATTATATTTATCCTCATAAGGAAAACTAAAGAGGACACAATTCATTTATGCAAGTCTTGCTTGTAAGGCTCATGGGACCGTATCACTATCGATCTCTTTTTGTGGCTTTGTGACTATTGCAAACAACGACCTCCTTTTGAGATTCCAGGGCTATCAATTACTGATTTCCTTCTAAGGTTCCGATATAGTAGCAATCAATGACTTCTAGAAATGTTATGGGACTGCATTTTCCAATTTGCATCATTTTATCCTGCTTGAAAATTGTAATTTTGATGAATTAAGTAATTGATATTTAGCATGCAAATATTGGTAGCTTTATTATGCTTCATACAAGTAACCCATGAATCATCACAAATGAAATTTTTAATCCCAAAAAGCTGTGATATCTACCATCAATAGTGGATAAAACTCTGCATATAAGATAACTTTTAGAATTAGATAAAATAGTTCTGTTTTGTAAGATGTTGGATGTGAAGCACAGGGAAATAATGAAAATATAGAGAAATCCACAGTATTGACAAAAGGCTAATGAAATTAAGCCAATTTAGATATATTGAAATTTGGTACCTACCACAACTTCTCAAAATTTTATTCCGTAAGTGTTTATCTCAATGTGTTGTATGTTCTTGTATAGTCTCATCTTTCTTATAGTTAATTTGTTAAAGGTTTTCGTAATAAGTCTTTCAAAATTTAGACGCCATTATATTATCATTTAATTTGAATTCCACATGACTCCTGCGCACATCAGTAACAGATTTATAATTTTCATAATAACTAATTAATTTTCTGCAAATCTTTTCATGCAAATTAAATAAATTATGCAAATCATACAAATGATATATAACAGGTAATGAAATTACTAGAATAATCATATGCATTTTAATGGATAGTAATAATGATTTATAACCTAGTTTTATATGATGAGATGATAAAACTATTGATGTAGGACTACAATGCTTGCAATGATTTTATTAAGAGCTTGCACAACTTATTGATTAGAGAAATAACAAATAGAACTATTAGCAAATAAAACGATGAATCAAAACGTAAGAGCGGTCACTTTCGTTTATGCTAAGTTACATAAGAGATTTGAACCATCAAAATATTGTAGGAAAACAATATCATGCAAAGTAGTAGCTTTCAATGAAAAATCCCTAATCTAACAATGAGATTTAGAAAACAATGAAGTGCACTCAATTCCCTACATTTACTAAGCTCAGCAGAATCGGGCAAACGCGTCCTTCGTGACGACAATCAAATCACAAGAAAGGATTAGACTTTAAGAAATACAAGAAGAGGGAAATTAGAAAAACTTCGTCAAGGATCGGTTGCAATCCTCCACTCGACGATCTCAAGTTGCTCTTCAATGGCCTCAACCAAGATGTCCAAGATGCGCTCCACGTATTCTTCTACGGTGTGATCGATATGGGGATTGACGTCGAAGAAGGTCGAGTGCAAGATGCAAACAAATCCGTGTTCGTCGTAAGAGAGACCGTAATCAAGATTTGGATCGGCCATGCATGTATTTTTGAGGTTAAGGTATTGATGACGATCGTTGAGATTTTCCTTGAAGACCCCTTCTTGAGATGGAGGAAGTAATCAAGAGAAATTACGAGGCGGGAGGGAAATAGGTGGCCGGCCAAGGGTGAGTGGGAGAGGATTGATTTAATTCCAAAGGAGAGACTCCCTTTTTTGGAAAGAAATTAAAGCAATTGGAGTATGTGAATTTCGGCCAAGAGGAGTTGGAGGAAATTTGAATTGTTTTCAAGGTGGGGAGGTGGGATTTATGAAACAATTCCTAATTTAATCCAATAGGGGGGCCGGCGGCATCAAGAGGGAAAGGAGGATTAAATACAATGTTTAATGCTTGCTTAATTTGAGTTTAGGAATTAGGAAAGTATTTAATTAAATCCAATTTGAATTTGAAAATCAAATAGATTTAATTTAGAAACTTCCCTAAAATAGATTTAGTAATTTAGGCATGGTTTTAAATTTCAAATTGGTTGAATTTGAATTCCAAAATATGTCCAAATTATGTCAATCCAAATTAGGCAAGGAAAAGCAATGGGGAGAGGGGACTTGGGGTCGGCGGGTGGAAGGGCTCGGGTATGGGGTCGGCGGCTAGGCGGGAAAATTTGTGGAGCTCGGTCAGGTTAAGGAGAAGGGCTTGGGGAGGGAGAAAACCGTGGATGTGATGTTGGTCGGTGGTGGTGGTGGAAGGAGAAAGGAAGATATACTAAATAGAACCAATAACCCGACTCGTCTAGGTTGGTGGGTGATGCACACTTCTCCCTCTCCTAGTGATCTCTCTCCGATTCTCAGGCTCTCACAAGAACTCATGTAAGGGGAAGAAATATTTTAATCAATCATTCATTCATTAACTTGCAAAGAAGAACAAGAGGGCTATAAATAACCTCTTACAATGACTCAAACATAAAGGATGACAATGCCCCTAGGGCTTACATACGACATTTCTTAATAAAAGGGTACAACGGGAAAACAAATAAAGCAAATACAATATGACATCATAAATAAGAAAATACATAAAACAAATAAAAAATACAATGACTCAATCGTGGTCGTAGATCGACGACCACGTCTCTGATAAACCTTCCATGATCTGATGTCCCCATCAGCTATATTAGTGGTGATGGTTTAAATTTGAAATTCAAGTTTCTTTTATGGATTTCATTCTTAACAAATTAATTGTAATATTGATGCCAAATTTACGTTCTCCCATTTTATATGCTCCTGGTCCTGCTAGGAGGTTTACAAGATTCTTTGGTTTTAATATTATCTGTTTTTTTATTTTTGCTTATACTGCTATTAACCATCATACTTGTATCCCAATCTCACCATTAACATTTTTTTTTGGTGTGCAGCATATCGGAAGTTAGCCAGGAATTTTCATCCTGATGTGAACAAGTTAGTAAAATTTGAGTTTTATGCAGTTTTTGTTACTTAACTAGACAATAACTTAGCTTTCTCCATCCTTTAAAAGTGTTGTATTTTCTAATTTATCCGAAGTTGCTATTAACATTTTTTTTTTTAACGTGTTGCTATGTCTTTCTTGAGCCAATCATGTTTGACCTAATGAATTTGTCTTAGATATAGACATGAATAAAGATAATTGAGAAGACAATTTGAATTAGTGATTGGATATTTGTTGACAGCATGATTAGGCGTGCTTGTTGTGAAGCATACTTCCTGTAGTAAACAGTATATTTAAGTTAAAGAAAGAGGGCCACAAACCCCATGATTTTTATTATTTGTAGTAAACAGTATATTTAAGTTAAATCAATTTGGATTCATGCTAGGTAGGTCTCCTATAGAACATTTATTGAGAGGTTTGATGGAAAATTATAGAGAGAATAAGGAGAATCTACATATGATATTTATTGATTTAGAATTGATTTAGAGAAAGCATGTGATAAAGTTTCAATAGAAGTGCTATGGAGAGTTCTAGAAAAGAAAGAGTTAATAATGCTTATATTCAAGTCATTAAGGATATATATGCATAAGCTATTACTTGTGTTCAAACACAAGGTGGTTTGACCAAGTATTTTCCTATTTCAGTTGGATTACATCAAGGATCAGCCTTAAGCCCATATCTTTTTGCTTTAGTCATGGATGTTCTCACTACAATTTTGCAAGAGGTTATGCCATACCCTTGTGTATGCTTTTTGCTGATGATATTCTTCTTGTTAATAAGACTAGAGAGGGAGTTGAAGGTAAACTTGAATTATGGAAGTCAACCTTAGAGTCTAAAGGCTATCGTTTGAGTAGAACTAAAAGTAAATATATGGAGTGTAATTTTAGTAATAAAAGATCTAGTGGGGGGATTGTGATTTTGCGTGATCAAGTCATTAATAAGAGTACATGTTTTCGATATCTTGGGTTTATTGTTCAGAGTGATGGTGAAATACATGGGGATATTATTAGTAGAATTCAAGTTGGATGGTTGAAGTGGAGGAATGCATCAGGCTTGTTGTGTTATAGAAAAGTCTCCTATAAACTTAAGGAAAAATTCTATGAGACTATGGTTAGACTTGCAATGCTTTATGGTGCAGAATGTTGGCCATTAAAAGAGAAGCATTATATTAAGTTAAGTGTTGCAGAGATGAGGATGCTCAGGTGGATGAGTGGCTTTACTCTAATAGACAGGATACGAAATGAGAATATACGTGAAAAGGTTGGAGTAACTCCAATGGAAGATAACATTAGAGAGAGTCGCCTTAGATGATTTGGTCATATAAAATGACGGCCTTTCGATGACCCAGTTAGGAAAGTCGATGTATTAGATTTAACTTATGTTAAGAAATGTAGAGGTAGACCTAAAAATACTTTGTTAGAAAATTTTAGAAATGACCTTTCTTTATTATATTTAAATGAGAATTTAACTCTTAACATGACACAATGGAGAAAAAAATGATTCATGTAGCTTACCCCTTATTAGTGGGATAAATGTTTGATGTTGTTGTTGAAGAGTTTCATGGCCTCCTTGTTAGATGCATTTCAACATTCAGGTTAAGGCTAACATTGATGACTTAAACTCATTTCCGAAAGAGAGATTAAAAAAGCTATAATCAACAATAATGGATCCATATTAAGGTTAACAAATATATATTGTCACCTTGGAAATTGCATTTTGATCCATGTGTTTTGGGCGCTTGTAAGATTGATGCAATCAAAAAAATAAGGGGGACCCTTATTTTTTTTATCACAAAAAGACAATCTTTCTAGATACAAAATAAAGACATAAAATGCTTAAAAGAACAAAAATACTATAAAACACAACTTTATATAAAAAGACTTACAACCATTGACTCTTACAAACTTGGACTCTTACAAGACACCCTAAACTTGCTTCACTTTGAGAAGAAGTATACATATGGAGTGGCACTTGCGGAGAGACGAAATAAGTTAGAAGCCAAGACGAAAGGTTGGAAAGAGCTCGCAAGATTTCCGGAGGGGATGAGAGGAAGAAGTGGACAAAGCTCGCAAGCTTTTCCAATGAAACCCGCATGTTTACATTTCCAAAAATCACATCATATATCATATCTAAAACAGCCACAAACAACTCCTATTTATAGGCACAAAAGAAGGAATACAAACAACCACTAAAACTTAATTAAAAGCTAAATAAAATAGGAAGATAGAAGGCCAAAAGACACCTAAAAACTGCAGTAAAAAACTGCACAGAAATCAGCAAAAGTCTCTTGGAATTCCTCCCAAAACAGCCACCAAATCAGTCCCAAAAACTGTCCAAATTCTGTCCAAAAACAGCCCCAAAATCTCTTCACATTCTATATTAAATGAGGGAGATGAAAAGCCAACAATCACTCCAGGAAACAAAGCATCACAGCCACGGAAAACAGCCCCCAACAGCCACGGGAAAACAGCCCAAGCAGAACCGGAAGAAGCAGCCGCAAAAGCCAAGGAGGCCCGCACGGAACCGAAGCACCAAAGCACGGGAAAGGCCACCCAGCACGGAAAACCGGCAGCCAGCCGATGAAACCAAGGAGCCATGGTACGGGAACCCAAGAGCCAAGCACGAGAAACGAATAGACAAAGGGGGGAGGAGAATAGACAAGATCAAATAAATAATGAGCTAATTTTTAGCTCCATAAATGGACTAAAAACCAGCTCATAAAGAGCCAACCTTCCACTTGTCATTAATGAGCTGGAGAAGTCAAAAATCAAATTTTTTGGGTTTGATTTGACCCCCCTTTGTCTACATCAGAGATTTTGTTTAGATCATTTCTATTGATTGAATCTACAACCTTTAAAATGTTATTATTATGCTTTAAGTCCTTAAAATATTTTCATTCAATAAAGATAGCAACAATATTTTCACTTTTGATTAGGTGCACACCCCTCTACTCTTTCTAAATTCTGCCTCTATATTCTCAACTACACTTGCATTTCTTAAGGTTATATTATTGTTGCACGAAACTATGACTCCAAAGCTGGAGTTATACTCTTAGGAGCTTTTTCTTATTGAGTTCTTTGGTTTTGTATTCATTATATTCTGATAGAATATTGAAGCATCTATTTAGTTTTCTAACATTTAATTATAATTAATAATTGATTCAATTAGATTTATTTTTAATTAACTATATTAGGTCATCTAAGGGAAATTAGGCTTCATGTCAATGGACAGATTTGGTCTGCCCTCTGTCTTTTTATTTATCCAAATATCCCCAAAGTCCTTTTTGGATGAAAATACCCTGAAAATGTTTATATGCTTATAAAACTATATTTCGCTCGAACACAATAAAATATCATTCCTAGCTCCTTCATAAACCTGCTTACATAGTATTGTGTAACCATTGCTGATTTCTTCGTTCTTTTATGAGTTTCTTCTTAGAATAGGCTAAAAAGTCCACGATGGTGTTGTTGAATCGAAGGAAGTTGACAACTATGATTAGTATTTTTAATGTTAAATTATGTTGAGTCTGTAACTATAGCAAATCTTTAATAACTTTTATATCATTAGTATGGTTTATGATGAAGAGAATATTTTGAAAATTTAGTTCATTTTGATAGAAGTGGAAAATAGAATTAGATAGAGGCTGAAAAAATATGTTATAAACAAGTTTGATCAATAGTTAAAAAATGTTATAACTTTATTCGAGCTAGGTTCAAACTAGATTCAAATATGATCTAGCAGGTTCAAATTTAATTTGAGCTATTTTTAAATCTTCTTTGAACCTCGTTTTGATTGTTGGGCGAACCTTGTCCAATTTAGATTTGAATAGCCGTGCAAACATGTTGAAGAATGTTCAATCTTTATTCGAACTTTTAGTTCAAATCTCATTCGAACCATACTTGTGATTTTGTTTAGCACATTTTTTTTTTGTAGATGAATCAAGCGTCAATATTTTTGTGCTGAGTAAAATGGAGAATGATAAGTTGACAACAAATTTTTTTGGATGTTTCGTGAAAAACAGAGCAAAGGACTGCTCTTTTCATAAATTATTACTCTCAATGATCTCATGGATAATGGATAGGAACTAATTTGATTTAAATTATGAGGTAAAATATCATTTTAGTGTGCTATAATCCATGATGTCAATTACTCAAATAGAAATAGTTACAAAATATGACCGTGAATTTGTCTTCAATAAAATTTATGCGTCTATCATTGCAAAAAAGATTTCAACTATGGATTGTAGCTAAGCATAAGTATTTGTACACGAATAGATTAAGTGATAGTAATTGAGGGTGACAAAATTGAGTCCAACACCTACTAATGATGCAAAAGATGATTTAAGAGCAGATGATGATGATGCTGAAAGCTAACATGATATAACTGATGATGGCTTAATGGATGCTTCATTATTAAAACATACATTAGGGATTACAAATTTCATGTGATGCAAGTAATACTTATAATTAAGTAAAATCTTTTGGTTCTTCATGTACTTTGAAAAGGGCAACTATAGTCAATGATATGAAGACACATGAATAACTTATATCATAGAAGGTCCAGTCCTTGAAAGTATCTTAAATTTAATGGTTATTGATACAATGACCTCGTATTTGACTCTTTTCTCATATGGATATATATATAAATTGGACAAATATTTGAGAGTAAATATGATATGAAAAGTTATATATATACATAGCAACAAAGAAATTTTTTTACTAATATTGAATATGTTAACTTTGTATAGCTTCTCAGGTTTTGTTATTCTACGAAGCTTTATTATTATTTGGTATGTAATTCTTTATGTAATTTTGTAAAAGAATTATTGCATACTTGTTGTATGAGGTTTGAACAATATTCTAATATTGTTTGAACCCAATTTATGGTATATATTCTCTGCAAGTGATGACATGGTTCTCAAACCTTGATCGAACATAATTTAAGCAATGTTCGAATCATGTTTGAACAAAGTTTGAATCATGATCGAAACAGGAATACATAATACTGTTCAAACCATGTTCCAACCTAGTTCAACTCTTATTATTTGCATCTGTAATCGAAAGTTATCACAAAAGTTAGAACTATGTTCAAACCAGTTTCGAACCTGGCTTAAACTTTATTATAACTCTACTATTTTATAGAATTCATACAATAGTTTTATACATACAATTACCATGACAGTAGTGAAATATATTCTTATAATAAATAACATAATATAAAATTCAATGAAATAGATTTATAGTCAAATAGTTCAATTAGATTAACAATAATAGAGTATGCACTTACAATCAAAGAATTCAATTACATTAACAATAATAACGTTCAGTCTTCCTAGTGATTGAACTAATTGAAGAAAAAAAATATATACATAGTTGTCTTTGAAAAATTGCATTCAATTGTTTGTAACTTCAAGTGTAGTCTTTTTTGAAATGAAGTACAAAATGTGCTGGATCACATACACTCCACATTCTCCATTGCATAATAATAGAATAAAAAAAATTAAAATTTAGTAGTATTTAAACTGTTGAAATAACATTCAACACAAGATGATGGGATACTGTCTTTTCAAGATTATTTATTTGACACATTTTTAGCATTTTTTTTCTTATGCTGGCTCGCTTTTTTCATGATGATGAGAAAATGCCCTTCCTAGAATCCTTTTGAATTTAATCCTGTTATACAATACAATTCAATGATTGGGATAGTGCTTCAACTTCATTTATGATTGATCAATTTGTTATCAATCAAATTATGTTACCCTCATTAAAAGTTGGGCATCATGCAAATGGGTTCTGTTATAGAAATCATGTTGATGGATTCTGTCAATTGGAAAATTCATTAAATGGGAAGTTCAAATCAAATGGACAAGCTATTTTACTTAGGTCAAAACTAATTCTGTGTGATGTAATTTAAATTAATATTATTAGCTAAGTTTTAATTTTATTTACATTATCCAATAGGCTGACAAGTCACAAGTGCATTTGCAAACCTAATCTCAAAAGGATAAAAATTGCAAATAAAAATTGAAAATGGACCAAAGTTTTAAAATTGCAATTTAAAATTTAGAAGAGTAAGGGGACAACCTATGAAGAATAAGGAGAGAGATTTAAGTTGAGGGAATAATGAAAATTATTCTAAAATTACTCCATAAATTCTCAAAGTTTGAAGTGGATGATCGCCTTAAATGGAGGAAATTAATGTAATTTCAAAGATATTCAGAATTCAAATGTTAATTTGGATGTTAAGCATGAAGCTTCCTAAATAGGAGGCTTTTCGTAGATAATTCCCGTAAATTTATGCATTTAGTTGGATTGTGGATGGATCATATTTTCTTTTAAATAGGACACTTTTAGTTAGATTGTGGAGAGAGGCTCTGGAAAGGCCTCCTTGGTTAATAGATTCTATTTTCTTGTCATGATGTAAAATTGTAGTTGAAACTACTGAAGTATTTTTCTCCAACTTGTCTCTCTCTCTCTCTCTCTCTCTCTCTCTCTCTCTCTCTCTCTGACATGTTATTCAAGGCTTGAAAACCATAAGGTGTGTTTTTCAAGGCAAAGTCACTGACTCTCTTTTCTAGTGGGTTTAGGAAAACAATCAACAACTCTCAATTTCTCTGTAGAAGGCCTAAATACTTCTGAACCGCAGAAGAGGCATACCAAATAATTTTATGTTAGTAATTGGATTCTATGGCAAATACGTGAATGATTATGATAGAAAAATATCCATTGCGATTGTTTCCAGTCTTATGGATGCTCTCTGATAAACTTTATTAATACACTTCTTGATGCATAAATTATATCAATGAATACGTCTCTTTATACAACTCTTTTAAAGATCTTTGTTAAGTTAATGAAAAATAGTAATCAACAATGATATATTTCAGCAAATGCCACTGTTAATGGATTTGTGAACTAGAATAGAATTTTGATGACGCTACGTATGTGAATATAATAGGGAGGCTTTAAAATTTAAAGCAACGGCTAATGAAACAAAACAATGGATGACCTTTTGATCAAGGTGGGGATGAACTGGTTTTATCAACGAAAGCAAGGAAATTCATATATAAGCTTTGGTTCAATGGAGATCTGTTAGACGGGATCTTGAGGAGCCGGTTGAACCGGTCCCACCTGGTCCGGTTCGAGTCTATTTCAACCGGAATAGACCCGTCTAAAGGGTAGCGGACAGGGTGTGGGGCCCTGCCCTCTTAATGGTGATATTATGGCTTTAATTGAGAAGAATTTGAGAGGAAAAATTCAAATTCTATGGACTGTTTAGGGAATTGTTGCTGGCTTTTGCTTTAAGTAGTATTTTCTGTTCTCGGGTTAGGGTTATGATGTATTTTGCAGAATTTTATATTTCTTGTGGTTTTGCTTGGGCTCTAGTCTCCGACTAGAGATTGAGAGAGCATGATCTTCCTCTCCAATTGGAGATCCAACTGCATCTTGCTGTTTTCTTTCCTCTCCTATTAAATTGAAAGTTTTCTCTCCGTTATTTCTCTAATTTTCTCTCAGAAACTGCTTGGAAGCTTGTTGGTTTTGCTGATTTCTGTAGTAAAGTTCTGTATTTTCTGTTATCACTCTTAAGTGTGTTCAGTTTGAGGACTTTGAACTCGAGCCTCAGTCTGAGCTATGTAAATTACTGAAAGAATTGAATTTCAATCTAGTTGCTGGTAAATTTTGTTTATGTTGTAAACCTGCTCCTGCCATTAAGACAAACAACTCCCACAAAATGCTCAGTGTAACTTCACTTGGAATTAACTTTTTCTATGGCCATCTTTGTTTAGAGATCCAGGCGCAGAACAAAAGTTCAAGGACATTAGCAACGCATATGAGGTCAGTCTACGCTACAGTTTTAGGCTTCGTTTGGGACGGCTTTTTTACTGCTCCTTAAAGCAGCAAAAGGCAAAAGCTGCTTTAAGGAGCAGTAAGAAAGCCGTCCCAAATGAAGCCTTAGTTTAAGTGAATTCCAGCTGTAGCAATAGTGCATGTAAATTCAGAGTTCCTTTAACAGAATCGTACTTCAGGTTTTGTCAGATGATGAGAAACGATCTATTTATGACAGATATGGAGAAGCTGGCCTTAAAGGTGCTGGCGCAGGCATGGGGGTGAGTTCCTTTGATAAAATAAATGATAGTTATTTAACTCTTTAATTCATTTTATTTCATCTTAAGCCCAGCTGTTCTCCAAATGCAGGATTTCAGCAACCCATTTGATCTATTTGAGTCATTATTTGAAGGTATGGGTGGAATGGGTGGTATGGGGAGCAGGTCTGCACGCAATCGACCCACGCAAGGGGATGATGAGAGCTATAATATTGTTTTAAACTTCAAAGAGGCTGTCTTTGGTGTGGAGAAGGAGATCGAGATAACCCGGCTCGAGAGCTGCGGCACCTGCGACGGTTCAGGAGCTAAACCTGGCACAAAGCCAACCAAGTGCAACACTTGCGGCGGTCAGGGCCAGGTTGTCTCTTCAGCAAGGACACCACTGGGTGTTTTCCAGCAGGTCATGACTTGCTCCACATGTGGTGGTACTGGGGAGTCCTCCACCCCATGCGGTACCTGTGGCGGCGATGGACGCGTGCGAAAGAGCAAGAGAATCAGTTTGAAAGTACCGGCTGGAGTGGACTCCGGTAGCCGGCTGAGAGTGCGGTCCGAGGGAAATGCTGGAAGAAGAGGAGGCCCTCCAGGTGATCTTTATGTATTCATAGACGTTCTATCAGACCCTGTACTGAAGAGGGATGGCAACAACATTCTATATACATGCAAGGTATCATACATTGATGCCATTCTTGGAACTACAATCAATGTTCCAACTGTCGATGGCACGGTCGATCTGAAGATACCAGCTGGGACTCAGCCAGGCACGACACTCGTGATGGCGAAGAAGGGGGTTCCTTACTTGGGCAAGGCGAGCACTCGTGGAGATGAATTGGTCCGGGTGCAGGTAGAGATTCCGAAAAGATTGAGCAGTGAAGAGAAGAAGCTGATTGAAGAGCTTGCTAGCCTCAGCAATGCTAAGACTGCAAACAGCAGGAGATAGTGAAGCCTTCAGAACTTGTACTATGGTGTTTTTTTTGTTGTTGAGATGCAGTTCTTAGCTAGGATATAAGATTATATGACAGTAATTTTGAAAGTTTACATATTTTTCATATTAGGAATTAAGACATTGCATGACTATTGATAGAAATTTATTGCATAAACTAAGTTATTGAGAGAGTAATATTTTAGCAGATGATTGAAGTGGAGCGTGCAATAAGATTTTTTTTTTCTTTTTGGGCTACGTTCTGTGAGTTAATGTTCACTATTGCTGTTATATTTGTTTATCAATTGTCAATCTTGCTAGGGGTGTCAATTCGGGTCAACGGGTTTGGTTCTGATCGAACTTGAAACTAACCCGGCACTATTCAGATCAACCTAAATCTGATCCATTTTTTAAAATGGGTCAGGTACCCGACCCGATTCAGGTCCGAGTCAACTCGACCCGACACGAATGACCCCGGATTGACCCAAAATTGCTAATTTACAGGTCAAAAATCAGTTCAATCTTCGATTTTCGGGGCAATCTCGAGTTTTCGGGTCAAATTTGAGTTCGTGTCAATTTTGGATCAATTTCGGATTACTGTGTCAATTCGAACCTAACCCAACTTTTAAAACAGGTTGATTTGTTGAACCCGAACCCGGCCGGTTTTGGGTCCAGGTTGACCTAACCCAATTTTTTTCGGGTCGGGTCAAAAATTGACAGCCCTAACTCTTGCATGTTTTCGCTGTGAACTTTCTCAAGCTGAGGGAAATCTTCCCCAAATAAGAAACAATGCCACTAAAACAATAGAAACACATCAGGAAAACATAAATATCAAATTTTATTTCTCAATAAAGTACAGGATATTTCACCTTTCCAGGCCATTTCTTCAAGAGGAAACAATGTTAAAAATATAAAAATAAAAATGGGCAAGTAAAGGTTGGCAGTAACCTGGATTATTGGAACATAATAAGTAAAGATGAAGGCATCTGGAGCTTGATTCCCTTTTTTTCCAAGTAATTAACCTAGTCCTTGTATTTCATTTCAGAGGTGTGAAATCCAGGCATATCGAAAGAAGCAGAGAATTTCTCAACAGCAGCCTTTAAATTTTCAATGTCTTTGTTGTTTGCCAGTCCCTTGTTGAAGTCTTTCAGAAGCTTTCCATGTTCCTTCTGAATGCTGAGGGTGATGGTGACTGCTTGGTGGAGGAACTCTCCGATTTGCTCGAAGTCCTTCTCAAGCAATCCCCTGGATGTCATTGCAGGTGCTCCTGCAAAATAGGGATGCAGAATGCAAAACCAGGGATTCATATTCACGTCATTTTCACTATATGTTTAGGGCTCATTTGGTTGTTTGCAGATAAAATTATAAGAAAAGGATATGTTATTTTCACTCATTTTGTTCATGAAAAATAAATAGTCACTAGAGACAAATTCTAATATGGTCTGTGTGTAAGGGTGTCAATTTCGAGTCACAGGTCGGGTTCGGGTCGAACTCGAAATTGACCCGACACTATTTGGGTCAACTTGAAATCAACCCGTTTTTGCAAACAGGTCAGTTTTTCATACTCGAACTAGACCTGCTTCGGGTCTGGGTCAACCTGACACGACCTGGATGATCCGGGATCATGAAAAAATTGCTAGTTTTCGAGTAAAAAAATGAGTCAAAATTCGCTTTTCGAGTAAAAAAATGGGTCAATATCGAGTTTCCGGGTCAAAACACATTTTTTTGGGTAAAAAATGGGTAATTTTAGGGTCATTTTCGGGTCAAAAAAGTTAACCCGAACCCGACCCGATTTTTAAAATGGGTCGAATGGTTGAACTCAAACCTGACCCGTTTCAGATCCATGTTGACCCTAAACCAAAATTTTTGGGTCGTTTCGAGTCGAATTTTCAGGTCGTGTCAAATATCGACACCTCTATCTGTGTACTCCCTACTGTTTGGATGGGATTTACTACATATGAGTTTATACTAGGTTGTTGGGCAATGAAACTATTCGACATGTTTTAAGGGAGATAAAAGGGATTCATAATTACATCCTCTGAAATTTTGAGCAATTATTCTGTGTGAGCATCGGACGGTCCGGATGCCAACAAGAACGCGCCACGTCACCCGGTACATAGCGGTACCTAGCACCGGTGGTACCGAGCAAAAAAGTGACATGACGTGTACTGGTTGGCCTCCGGTGTCCACACGGAATATGTTCTCCTGAATTTTAGCAAGGCGATGGAGTTAGGAACGACCAATGGAGTGGAGATGAGAAACTTGTTTCTGATTCCTTAGAGAGACGAATATTCAAGAAAGAAGAAATTCTCATACAACATATAATCTTTATTATGGCACTATAAAAAGTCGAAACAACAATATTTCAATGCATGGATATATGACTTAGTGCATGCAAGAAGAGCAGAGCGTACATGAGAATGCAAATTTTTTCTACAAACACGTGCATTTTGAAAACATACAAATATCTTAATTTGCAACATTATAGAAATTAGATTTTTAGGTATTGTGGTGAGGGAAGATGGCTAAAATCAATTTCAGGTTATAAAGTAAAAAAAAAAAGGAAAAGCCCTGTATTCATTGATTGTATAAAACTCATGTATCATTGTCCCAAAAGTAGCATTTTAAGAACACAAGCACAAGAAAATATACCAATCCGGACACCTCCAGGAGCCAGAGCACTGCTGTCACCAAAAACAGCATTTTTATTGAGTGTTATGTTGCAAAGATCACAGACTTTTTCCACCTTGTTACCTACATAATAAGAAAAAAAAATTGCTATCTATAAAAGAATCTAAAATCTCAAAACATCCAAAATGTGGAATTTGACATTACCAGTTAAGCCAAGAGGTCTCAAATCCCAGAGTATCAGGTGATTTTCTGTCCCACCGGTAACAATGTTGTAGCCCTTGCTCATCAAATAATCTCCGAGTGCAACAGCATTGGCCTTTATTTGCTTAGCATAAGCTTTAAATCCTGGCAACGTGGCCTGCTTCAAGGCCACAGCCAATGCAGCAATCTGGTGATTGTGAGGGCCTCCTTGGAGGGATGGGAACACGGCAAAGTTGATCTTGTCTTCATAATCGTAAAGAGTATTCTCAGGCTGGCCCTTTTTAGGAGGCTTAGGGCCTTTTCTGTAGAAAATCATACCAGATCTTGGACCTCGAAGACTCTTGTGGGTTGTGGTTGTGACAATATCACAGAATTCGAAGGGATTATTAGCTTCCTGCATCAAGAAAGAAAGGGAAATAAGAAAAAAAAACTATGTAGAACGATTAACTTGCAAGTATAATACATGGCAATCACTAGATCTTACAAACCCTTGTATTGATTTGCTTCGCTAGAGCTAGCAAGGTATTAATTACAAAGAAAAAAATATATAACCGTAAACAGTAAATCCATTACTGAAGCTTGAATAAGTATAATAAGTTCATAAGGGAGTGTTTCAAGAAGCTTAAAACCAAAATGTGATCATCTTGTATCGATCGAGCAAAATTTTAATTAAAAGAGATACTAGAAAAACAGCAAGGGGAATAAAAAATTTAAATTATGTTTCTTTGAGCAAGTTAACATAATCATAGATCTGTCAAAATTAACCATCTGGATATCCAATTGTACTAGGAAAAAAAAAAGAAAAACCAAAATAAAGCAGAATACGTAAACGAAGTGACAGATCTATCATCTTTTCAATTATCAAAAATAAGGTATCCACTATTATTCCATCATCTTTTCTATCACTAACAACTGGTACTAAGATAACAAGATTAAAGAGCTCTTTCCTAAAACCACCGCAAGGCCAGATTCTCAGATATCCGGTTCACTACTGAAATTTGAGTGAATAACTTACAAAGATTATTCTCCCATATCCCAACAGAACAAAGCTCTTGGTCAAAGCAAAGAATAAAAAACACGATGAAAACAATTGAAATTAACACAACCAACAAAGCAAATAAACACATTACCTGGGCGGCAACAAGGCCACTTATGTGAGCCATGTCGCAGAGCAGCAGTGCCCCGCACTTATCCGCTATGGACCTAAATCGCCCATAATCCCAATCCCTTGGGTACGCGCTACCACCGCAGATGATGAGCTTGGGGCGGAAATCCAAAGCCTTCTCCTCAAGCTTATCATAGTCCAATAAACCCGTCGTCGGATTCACCTTATAAGGGAGACTCTCAAAATAGATCGAAGTGGCGGAAATCTTTTTCCCACCAGCGGTATAGTATCCATGCGTAAGATGCCCCCCAGAAGGCAGATCGAGCCCCATAATCCGATCATGAGGGTTGAGAAGTGCGGTATAAGCGGCAAAGTTGGCAGGGCTGCCGGAATAGGGCTGCACATTGACGCCCCATTTATCGGCTTCAAGGTGGAAGGCCTGGAGAGCGCGGGAGCGGCAGAGGTTCTCGATCTCGTCGATGAACTCGTTACCGCCATAGTAGCGGTTGCCAGGCATGCCCTCGGAGTACTTGTTGGTGAGGGCGCTGCCAAGGGCCTCGATGACGGCGAAGGAGGTGAAGTTCTCAGAGGCGATGAGCTCGATGCCGCGGCACTGGCGGCGCTTCTCCTTCTCGATGAGATCGTGGATCTCGGGATCGACAGAGGAGAGTGGGGTGAGGCCCCATGAAGCGACGGAGTCCATCGTTGGGGAAATAGAAAGGGCAGGGTTTCCAACAGTGGATGCTGAAACCGATAAAGGGCGGAGCGAGGACAAGGGGAGGGCGGAGGAGGAGAAAGGTTGGACACGGAGAAGACGGAGTGCGAATGGAGGGAGATTTATAGACGGGGAAGGCGGAGGCAGGGTTAGCAGCGACCACATGATTTGCGCTTCGGTGTAGGTGGACAAGGGGAGTTGCATAAATACTTGTTTTCAATAAATTACCTTCTGAACCCTCGAAAAGGTTTGGCGATTGTGTGTTTTTATTCACTAGGGATTTAAACAAGTAGAGCGGCAAAACATTAAATCTCACATAATTAAAATTTAAATTTTGTTAATTTTTAATCTAAATTATGTTTATATATATATATATATATATATATATATCATTTAAGTATTAAGGTTTAGTGTTAATCACGAAACCCTAAATCCTAAACCTTATATCATTTAAGACCAAAACTCAACATCTTCGAAAACAAAAATAGGATTCGGAGTCCTTACCACGAGATAAACACTTTTCCCAACAGCGGCGTCGGACGAAAAGCACTCCGCGGCCTCCGAAAACCAGCTTTTCCTTTGTTTTCCTTCTCTTTCTCTCTCCTC